CTCTGGGTATACTACTACCATCTTTCAGATTCAAATAAATTACTGGTGATGGAAAAATCTATCAAGAGCTCTCAATTTACTGATCAATTTACATTTCCCACCTCACCTTTGGTCATGAGATCTGGGTAATAACCGGAAGGACAAGATAGTGAATACAAGCGGCTGAAATAAGTTGTCTGATGGAGACAAATCAAATTGGTTAGATATAGACTGATACATCGTCCGGCTATATTTTTTCTGCCAATATTAGCTTTTGAAATATTTTTTTCTTGTATTTGTATCAGCCATTAAATGCATGTGTCAGTCAATTCATAAGTGGATTCAGCGGCCTTCACCTGCCTTGAGAGCATTTCTAATGCATGTATTGCCAATCCCTACCATTTGCCATAATTTGATCATTCATTTGATTCTTTAATACGTTTATTTTTTTGAGACCTGTGTAATTTGTTATGATTATGTCCCTCTAAGCAAGTTAATGTAGAAAGAAAAAGCAATATCACCTCCAAGACTCAAAAAAAAATATCGGCAGCATATCACAGTTTGGTATCAGCATCGACCCTAAAAACCTTTATTGGTAAGTCTGTAGTAAATGTTAGTGCATACTTGAGTTGGCATATTGAATATCAGCAAAAATCTAATATCGTACATCCCTAATAAAAACTAATAGCATTAAGGTAATTTAAAATGACAGTGAATTTAATCAGAGGAGAGCTTTATAAAACCTCAGTAAAATAAATCATTTTAGAGCCCCTGTCACACCTTGAGGATTTAGACCAGCATATGCCTGACATACGGAAAATCTGACAAAAATGGCATACGTTGGATAAGTTATGGGTACGTTTTGTATAAGTTATGAGCATGCTGAAGTACGCTGAAGCACGTGTAGGTCCGGCATGTGCCTGTAACGTATGCCCCACATATGCCAATGTATGTCATATGTAGGGCATATGTTACAGGTAAGTTATCTAATCGTTGACATAGGTTAAGTGTAAGTTACTCATAAGTCGTGGTGTCCAGCTTATCCAAAACCTATGAGTAACTTCTCCTCCAGACTGCATCCCAATCATGGGATCAGAAAGAAGGTGAGTGTGATGGATCCTCCCTGCCTTCATGCCCACTGTCACGACCCACAAACTTCCTAGCAGACATGACGCTAAATCTGCTGCGACTGCAAACCTTCTTTCTTTCTTTTTCTTTTTATTGATTCTTTTTTTTTTTAGGTGGATGCGCCTGAGGGGAGCAGCTTTAATTGATGCTGCATTACGCTGCCATGCTTTATAGATAAATTAGGCTGTCGTTGGACATAAGTTCTGGACTCGTTATGAATAAGCTATCTATACGCCCAAAATTAAAAAAAAAAAAAATTCATTGAAAGTTCAGCATATACCAGCGTTTTAGGAGATTCTGGGATGTCAAGCATACACTGTCTGAATCGGTAAGGTGTGACAAGGCCCTAAATAACAACATTTTCAGGATTTTTTAGGATGATTTTCATTAGGAGGCTGACAGTGACCCTGTTTTCTAGAGCTAACAGCCGAATCACACACCTAAAAGATTATCTTTTTGCATTTGTAAAACATATGGGTATCTATCAAAAATATAAAAAATGTAGAAAAATAAAAATCTCTTTACACAAGTTGAAACTCACATGAAAGTTAAAGACCTTGAGCGCAAAGTTTGAGCTTTGTATATGTAAACAAACTTTAACAAAAACATGTGAAACTTGTGTAAAAAAAAATACTTTTGTAGTTATTTCAATAGATACACATATGTTTTATAAATGAACAAATTATTCACGGATGCACAAAGAGGAAATTTCGACACATACAGATGTGACAATTTGGTATTTTAAGGTCAGAAAATCTATGAGCTGGCTTGATTTAAGTCCTCCAAACCCCTGACAGCCCAGGGTGGAAACAGGGAAACAGTCATAGTTTAATACACTTCTCTGCAGCTTCTTTACCCACCCGTTAATCCCATCTAGACAGTGTGTGGCTTGCAGCTAAAATCAAATTAACTAGAAAAAAAATCTAAATGAGTGAATCATTATAATCTAATTAAAATTAACATGACTCCAATTAAGAAAAAAATAAAATAATTAAATGTGTTTCATGGAACATAGGATCTCTCTTCTCGAAGAGTTTATTAATGACTTAATGTGTGATAATCAACTTAATATAGGTTATCTTACAGAAACCTGACGAGTATTTTAGTAAAACAATCTTAGCAATCTTCCAGCCTAATTTATTGATCAGTCCAAAACCAAGTAAAGTTTTTGAATATTTGATTCTTAATTTCCCCCATAAAAGTTGTAAAGCAACAAATCAATTTCTCTTTGTAACTTTGAATAGTCCCCATTCCTTCACTTAATATTTAGATCAGTTTTCAGATTTTTTTGTCTGATTCAGTGTTAAATACAGAGAGTTCATCATAGTGGGGGATTTTAAGATTCATAACAACATTTAAGGTGATAGTTTTAATTCATCCATTAGTGCTATCTTACATTCCATTCACTTTGTTTAAAACAGGCATAATCCCATGCATTCTTATCTTCATACTTTTTATCTTGTGCTGACATAGTAAATTTCTCCACTGTGAGATCAATAAAGTCAATCAATCATTATGGTATTGATGGTGAAAACAATAACAGTATTTCCTCACAGCCTTTTCCTATCTTAATGTTTTTTGAGTTACCTTAATAAACATATCTTCTCCCCAAATAGGGTTTCTTTTTAGCAGCTCATTGTCAAATAATGTGGAATAAATATTAAAGGAAAATTCCCTTTTTGATTTAGTCTCTCTCACAGAAGAATACTGCAGGGGAAAGCTACTTAATTTAGTTCACAAACTGATGATTTTGTTCATTCCTATCTTCTCTGCTCATTGCTCTAGACAAAATAAGGATTTTGTTAATAGGATGCTGTCTCACTGGTTTAATTTGGAGCTGTGTATTTTGAAGCATAACACTTGGAAAATGGAGACAAAAAAATGGCCATTTACACAGGAATCCAACTTAATCAGCAAAAAAAGAGTCTACAGCAGTATACAATTATCCTTCATAAAACAGGAGCAGTATTTTACTTTCAATTAATATAGGAGAATAAGAATAATCCTATATTTCTTTTTAATGCAGTTGGCCAGCTTACATAGAGACCAATAGCTCTGTTGAAATGTCCAATTCCCCTGCTCTTAACAGTAAAGACCTCAAATGTTTCTTTATAAATAAGACTGTATTCTAAAAAAAAAATATAAGATCATTGGCAACACTCTAAATATGATTAGTTCATCTCTGGAAGGTAATGTAGCATTGGAGGTGCAGCATTACAACCCGAACTGTGTTTCGACTGGTTTAATTAAATACACACATTTTTTTTTTTTTTTTCAATTCAGTTTATTTATATAGCGCCAATTACAACACGTAATTTAAAAATGTAAAGTTTTCTATCTTGGCAAAACCAGTTGATTGCATTGACTCATTGACTCAGAGACAATCGCTCACACTAAGCATACTTGTAGCAATAGTGGAGAGGAAAAACTCCCTTTTAACAGGAATAAACCTCCTA